CTTATCCTGAAGCAAAGTTCTTAACCTGAAGCACTATTTCTGGGTTAGCGGAGTGTGTAACCTGAAGCGTATGTAACCTGAAGCGTATGTAACCCGAGGTACCACTATATATATATATATATATATATATATATATATATATATACAGTACGTGGGTGTGTATCGTTAGGGAGAGAATCTGTATTGTATGCAAAAGGTCCCAGATGCAAAAGCATCTCCGGGTGAGTTTGGAAGCATTCCTTGTCTGAAATGCTGCAGAAGAAGAAGAAGAGGAAGAGTTTGGATTTGATATCCCGCTTTATCATTACCCGAAGGAGTCTCAAAGCGGCTAACATTTTCCTTTCTCTTCCTCCCCCACAACAAACACTCTGTGAGGTGAGTGGGGCTGAGAGACTTCAGAGAAGTGTGACTAGCCCAAAGTCACCCAGCAGCTGCATGTGGAGGAGCGGGGAATTGAACCCGGTTCACCAGATTACGAGTCCACTGCTCTTAACCACTACACCACGCTGGCTCTCTCACACCACACTGGCTGCAGAGCCACTACTAGTCAGTGTGGCCAATAACGAGCTGGATGGCCCAATGGTTGGAGACAGCACCCTGTAGACAGATATTCATCTGGGATTTACTTACATAACTGGCTGTGTTCGTAGGTCCAGGTCACCAACTTACCCAAAAGGAGCAACAAGCACTATGGATTGTATTGATTTCCTGCATAAAAGCCATTCCAGCTTCTGACTGAATTCGAGGCATGTACAGGTGTATATATTTTTCTGACCATGATGCCTATGTCATAGGTAACATACAAGCTATAGTTAACAAGTTTCTCACTAGTCTGTTTTACCCTAACTTTCCCGACGGAGTGGTACCTATTTATCTACTTGCACTTTTGTGCTTTCGAACTGCTAGGTTGGCAGGAGCAGGGACCGAGCAACAGGAGCTCACCCCGTCGCGGGGATTCGAACCGCTGACCTTCTGATTGGCAAGCCCTAGGTTCTGTGGTTTAACCCACAGCGCCACCCGTGTCCCTTGTTTTACCCTAGTTGCCCCCAAAAGCATTATATACAGATAACTCACAACTTACGCTTATTTAACTTTTGCGCATCCAGATCTACGCACTTGGCAAATATGTTTAATAAATTTTAAAAGGGGCAGAAAGGGGGCGCGCAATTGGGGTTGGGAGAGAAACACTTTGGCAATCCCACCAGCCATTAAACCCAAAGTGTTTTAACAATACGTGATTTTGGCTTTTGGCACTATCCCTAAAACGTAACCCCAGCCTAAGTTGAGGGTCATCTGTACTAAGGACTGCAATCAGTGACTGTCATTATTCCTTTAATCATGTTGCCGTACTGTGTGTCTGTTTTGGTTGCCTGCATTTTTTAAACATTATTTCAAAATAAAATTCTAGGTGCACACAAAAATGGCACATGTCTGTGAGAGAATATTTTAACACAACATCCTTGTGACGAATGGCCTAAGGATAACATGCTTCCCTCCAAAAAAAAAAATTTTCCTGTCAAATGTCCTAGTTTTTTTACCCATTATGTCGTGAGCCACCTCTCATGTTTCAAGCATTCTTCATGCACACAGGCCAGAATCACCTCTTATGGTTCAGTCTACGAGGAACAGTGGTGGCATCAGAAGAAAATAAATGGGGAGGAGATGCAGGAGGGGTAACACATATTTCTAGGTAGGTGAGCTGTGTCCCACATTAAGGCTTTTGAAAGAAAAATGACAGTACACGTCAGTGGCAGGGGTTTTGCAGTAGGGTAGCCAAGTGGGAACACAAGCGTTTGTTTGTTTTTTTAATGATATTTACTAAAAAAAAATTTGAATTACAGAGAAAAAACAAAGCAGAAAAAAGAAAAAAACAAAGAAAAAACAAACCACATCCAACAATACAAATTCAAAAAACAAAAATACACCGCAAACAGACAAAAATAAATCCATCATTCTCAAATCCTCAACTCTCATTGCCTTCTTTCTTTGACCTCCTCCTCCTCCTCCCTTTTTTTGTATCCTAGTTAATAATTATAGCAGCAAATCCTTTCCATATTTCATAATATTCTGTCTTTACATTACCTTAATCTATTTTCATCTTATCTTATAAAAAACCTTAAAACTTAAACTTAAATCTTATTTTTACCGACTTCTCACAACCATAATATTCTTACCTAATTCTTTAAACATTTTTACTAGAGCCAAGTAATTTCGTTCCAGCATTTTTCTAACATTCATCAATTTTATAAAACAATCCTGGTAATAAAAAAAAAGAAATAAAAACAATCCAATCTTCATCCAGCGTCCCTTCCTCCTGGTCCCGGGTTTTGTCAGTCCTTTTTTCCCATCGATCTAGCGCATTAACCTGGTAACCTTATATCCGAGGGCCTTAAGTCACTTCCATGTCCCTTCCGCAGCTCTTCTTCATATTCTCCTTTCACCCGTGGGAACTCCAGCTTGGTAATGTTTTTGACCCTTTTCAACAAATCAGCCCCTTTTCCATAGTCCAGACTCAACTCCATGTGGTATTTAAAAACATGTTTCAGAATCCCTCCAAAATTGAGAGCCCCCACAGCTCCAAACATCTCACGGCCCATTGCCAGACTCGGAAAGTCCAAACATCCCTGCATAGGGAGGGTCTGTCCAACCCCCCATTTCCAAACCAATCCAAACTTTATCTTTCCAAATCTGGCTTTTTCCAAGTTCATTTGTCAAATCCAAAAGCTCATGTTCCTGCAAGGCCGCAGCTCCCTCCATCTCTGGCGCCCAAGATTCAGCAACATCCTCTTCTCTCATCTGCTCTGTCAGGACGCACTCCTGATCTGATTCCTGGGTGGGCTCCACATAGTTTCCCACTGCCTGTTCAAAAATTCTGACCTCATTAGTCATCAAATCCGTCTTCTCATTTAACTGTTCCAGTAGGGCACTTGTTTTACAGAGAGCACACAACAGAGCCTCTGAATACATTGTCCTACAAGGTCACAAGTCCATTCCCACGATTGTAATCTGTGACAGCTGCAAGCTCCCTAGAATTAGTTACAATTTCACAGTCTCCCTCTAGGGGGAGAACTTCTATTTGTTCTTGCAACAAAGTATCCTTTTTGAGATATTTGGTCAATATTTGTTCCTTTAAAGTGCGAAAGGAAACAGTGGAATCACTATGTTTCTCATCTTTTAACTATCTGTCAAAAACGTTTGTCTCTGGTCAATGAGCTTCAAACGTCAGTCCTGACACCCCGCTCCAGGATCAGGACGGTGGAAAGTTACTTTACTTTAAACTCACTTCTGCAGGTTTAAACAGTCCAAAAAAGATCCCCTTCTTCTCCTGCTGCCGAAGGGGGGTTCAACAATTTTAAATGATGAAAGCCAATCCTTTAGAAGCGATTTTCTAAGCTCTAGTTTACGTTGTCTTTGCTTTATTCTGTCTACAAAGAAACGGAAGGCTGACTTCCTGTTTAGACCTTCCCGTTTCAGTACCAAATTGAAGTAAATCTTTAAGTCCAATTCCTTTCTGCTCGCAAGTCCTTATTTAAAGTCCAATTGTTCAAAGTTTAAGTACTCACGGGTGCTTATTTTAGAAGCCAAATTGTCCCAGGAAGAAGGCAGCGCTCTCCGGCAACGGCTATGCGGCTTCGCTCCACGGAAATAGCAGTTGACTCACAGCACCGCGCCACTTCCCCCTCTTCACTTCGGAGCCCGTTAGTGGGTTCCTTTGCAGGTTGCGGGGGGCGCTAAGGGTGCCCGCCGAGTGCCACGGTCACAGGCTTCATCCGCCTGTGATTTTCAACAGGGTCCCCGCTTCGCCGTAGCGGAAAGGACCCGTTTCACGCAGAGCTAGTCCCTCCACTTCAGAGGGAGTCCGCCATTGCCGATGGCGCCACCCCGGAAGTCCTCGGCCCACAAGCGTTTTGTTTGGGGGGGTGTGCTTGCCCTCTGCTCCTCCCCATGACGAGGAATCAATCAGGTCTCTCTTCCAAGCTCTCATATTTTACTTCCACCTTTTTTGGTAGTGTAAAGGTGTCAATGCTCCTCCCCTGTTTGGCATATGGATTACATATTACATGACTGAAGGTGCAAAATGTCTGCTCACATGACCATGCCAGATTAACAAAAAAGAGCTCTGCTGGATTCAGACCAGATGCCCATCTGGTTCAGAATCCAGCCAGATTGGAGGATCCACCAGGCCCAGCAACTCCCTTCCTTGATTCCACAGGGAATGCAAAAAAAAATGCAGTTATACCCTATGAAAATTGGCCTTCTACTGACCATCATGAATGAATATAGAATCATAGAGTTGAAAAGGACCCTGACAATCATCGTCTAGTCCAGGGGTGGCCAACTCCCAAGAGACTCTGATCTACTCGCAGTTAAAAACTGGCAGTGATCTATCCCCTTTTTGGGGGGTTCAGGTCAAAGTTGTTGAGGTTTTTTTTAGGGGGAGAAAAGCCCTGTTTTCTGGGGGTGCTGGTCAAAGTTTTAGAGCTTTTTTTAAGAAGGAGGAAAGCCCCATTTTGGGGTGGTGGTGGTGCAGGGCTGAAATGTTGAGCTTTTTTTAGGGGACTCAAAGTTATTAAGTTGAGCTTCTTTGGGGGGAGCCGGTGATCTACCAGTGATCTACCACAGACGTCCAGTGATCTACCGGTAGATCACGATCTACCTGTTGGACGTGCCCCCTGCAATGAAGAAATAGGCAGCTGTCCAATACAGTGGTACCTCGGGTTACATACGCTTCAGGTTACATACTTCAGGTTACAGACTCCGCTAACCCAGAAATAGTACCTCGGGTTAAGAACTTTGCTTCAGGATGAGAACAGAAATTGCGCAGTGGCGGGAAGCCCCATTAGCTAAAGTGGTGCTTCAGGTTAAGAACAGTTTCAGGTTAAGAACGGACCTCCGGAACAAATTAAGTACGTAACCCGAGGTACCACTGTATGTATTTACTTTATTAAATTTAAAAAGAAAAATTACAATCAACCAAAAAGAACCAAGTACGTAACCAGAGGTACCACTGTACAGGGATTGAGCCTGCAACCTTGGCATTATCAGCACCGCACTCTTGTCAGCACCATGCTCTAACCAACTGAGCTTGCTCCTCCAAGTAAATTTTAGATACCCCTTTAACACAGTCTCTCAGATTTCTTAGGTTGCACCCTGTTTGCCGCCCCAGCAGAGCTTAATCCATAGTCCTGTTGCATGCCAGCCACCTTGAGGAAAGCCTCTGAAGATCATCTTAACAAATGGGCAGATTCATGAAGATGACTTGGTGGATCTAGACACAGGTTAAAAACCGCTATAAATATGTCAGAAATGAAATCAACAAAAGAAAAGAAAAAGCCTATGTAAAAATCCATATAAACTCTTTTGCTCTCTGGCGCCATCTGGTGTTGGATGTTTATAATGCATTCAAATCGTATTGTGACGAATGTAGTTGAGTCTGACTGTCCTTCAGAAATCTAGAGACCAGGCCTAAATTTGTACTATAAGCTTTTGTGGGCAAATGCCCACGTTGCCAAATGCAAGATAAAATGGACAGAGTCTTATGAAAATTTATGCTGCAATACATATAATTTATTAGCCTTGAAGGTGCTACAATGCTATTGTTTTGGCTGCAACATACTAACACGGCTTATGCTCTGGATCTGGTGCCAAAGAATCCAATTTCTTCGCATGACATGTGGTTACTACAGAATCTCTTAACATAAAATGTAGTGATAGGCATCAAATTCATGCAGGATAAGGTTATAAATGTCTACTAACCATGATGGTTATGTACTGTCTCCAGTATCAGAGGTAATATGCCTCTGCAAACCAGTTTCTGGTGCTCCAGAAACACAGAGTCCTATCGGCCTCATGTCCTGTTTCCGGGCTTTCCTTTTTTCCCCCAGTACTGCAATTTATTAATTTTTATTTTTTTACATTTTATTTTGACAAAGTAATAATCATAAATAAATAAGAATAAAAATGTGCACTCCACCCCCGAGACCATTCCATTGTAACCATTCCAACCTCCCAAAATTTCAACACCTCTTAGGATGGTTTGACCCCTTTCCATTTTAACAGTACAAATTATACAAACACCTTCCATATCTCCTCAAAACAATTTCTCCCGCATATTCCCCATCTTACCTTAATGGCACATTAATTTATCATTAGTAGTTATATCCCAAACCTCTTTGTACCATTCTTCCATTTTATACTCTGCTTGCCCCTTCCACTTCTTAGCTACTATTATAATTTGTGCAGCTGTCAATAAATTTGTGAGCGAGTTCATCATAGCCTGCAAACCTTACACCACATTGTAAATTGTTAATAATGCTGCCTCTGGACTCTTGGTCAGCTTTAACCCAGTGGTTTCTGTTATCTCCTTGAACACCCTTTGCCCAAAGAATTGTACATATTTACACCTCCACCACATGTGAACATAATTCCCTGTTTCCTGGCATCCCCTGCGGGCTTTGAGAGCCAGTGTTGTGTAGTGGTTAAGAGCAGTGGACTCGTAATCTGGTGAACCGGGTTCGCTTCCCTGCTCCTCCACATGCAGCTGCTGGGTGACCTTGGGCCAGTCACACTTCTCTGAAGTCTCTCAGCCCCACTCACCTCACAGAGTGTTTGTTGTGGAGGAGGAAGGGAAAGGAGAATGTTAGCCGCTTTGAGACTCCTTCGGGTAGTGATAAAGCGGGATATCAAATCCAAACTCTTCTTCTTCTTCCATAGGAATCTGTTGGACCATTGTGAGAACAGGACGTTGGGCAAGAGAAACCTTTGGTCTGATGCAGTAGGCCTCCTCTTTTATGTTCTCTTTGCCATTTCTGATGAGCAGAGCAGTCTCAGTCCATCAGAGACAAAGTTCTGGCTGTGCACTTGGGCAACCTACTTTAATACTGAGAGCTAGTGTGGTGTAGTGGTTAGAAAGATGGCCCAAAACATGAGAGACCCGGGTTCAAATTCCCACTCAGCCATGAAGCCTACTGGGTGACCAGGTTGTTGTGAGGATAAAATAAGTGTGGGGTGGAGAATTAGGTACACCACCATGAGTTCGTTGGTGGGATATAAATGAATGAATGAATAGCATTTTAACCTAACAATTTGCATCATCTAAAAAGGTTGTCTATACCATTGTTTCTGCTGCATTGCCTGACTCAAATTAAACGATACGACTCTCCGTGTTTTAAATAAACATTCCACAAACAACTAAATACGTAACCAATAAGTTATAATATTTTTTATTCATGTTAGAATTTCTATCAGTGTTTGAACATTAAAGTTTAGAGAGTTTGTACAAATTTTCACTCATGATTTAAAATTGAGAACCATGCTAGATCGCAAAATGGCAACTAAAACAGTTCAGAATGACATGAATATCCACACTCTCTTTTAACACTGTTAACATTTTCTTTGTTTGCAAATGGGACTTGTAATTAAAAATGTGCATTGTATTTATGTCTCAGTAATGTTCCAAAACATAATGGTATCATCATTACATATAAACTCTTTAAAAATATAATTCTGTCAAAAGAATTGAGGGCTACTATATACACTACAAAAATAAATTTTCATATAAATAAATTATATGGCATACTTTTATCTTTGTAACTGAAACACAACCCATTTCTGCTCAAAACAAAGCAGGCAATGAGACCCAGTCTGAATATTTTTTTTTCCTTTTAACTCCTCACTCTAAAAAGCTACAAAATGAGTCCTTAATGTAAATGTTATATACTCTCTTCCTATTTAACATTAGTAAGCATTCTATACAAATAAAGATTCCATTAAAAAGTAGAAACATAGCTGTAATAGTGTTTCCAATAGAAATAAAATCCCTGCATTGTGTTTGTTATAAACTGGCATGACAAATACTGTAAGAAAACATTCTTATGATACAAAAATATAAATATCAACAAAAATTAAAGATTTTTATTAAAACAAAAACAAAAAACAGAACAGCCAGCCACTGAGATCTCTTTTTGCCAATGTGACAAGAAGACAGATGGTGTATACTATGCACCAAGGAGCAGGCACCCCACAAAAAAAGAGGGGGGGAATCTCTCTCTCTCTCTCTCTCTCACACACACACACACACACACACACAGGCTAAGGTGAAGGGGCTATTGAACATCAAAGCCTTTCCCACTTTCTGCTTCTCTTCCTGTTTCAATAATAATAATCATGGGGCTAGAGCGCAGAGTGAGTGGCCCCAAAGCATAATCCGTGGGGCACCACCATGACCTCTGCCGCTGCAACTCTTGGCAGTGAAAGGTAGCTTGCAATTCGTAGCGTCCTGTTCTGTTGCAGAGCTTCTGTCCTTGTTTTATCGTCTGACATCGTGACACTTCTAGGGCCCAATTGGGCCCTTTTTGCCACAAGCATTTTTCACGTTGGACAGGAAGCTGGAGCTGTAGATTGAGCTTTGGTGCCCTTCGAAACAGTAGCTTATGCACCGCTGAAACAATACGGTGCCTTCTCGCTCAGGTCTCTCTTTCCACCACTGGTCTTTCCAGTTCAAGCATGATCAAAACAGGGCTGTGCCTCTCCCAGGGTTAATAACTTGGAGGTATTAAGAGACCAATTCAACTACTTCCTGAATGGAAGCCGCCTTTTATTTACCTGAAGTTTTCTGAAACTATGGGGATATACGGCACTATGGCAACTATATTAGTTGTACTAGGTTCGGAATGTAGCAACAACCGCCTCTAAAAAAATCATATCTATGCAATTAGCACACGCCAAGGCTTTCACCAGCCTTTAGCTTCAAGCAACATTTTATTATGGCGTTCTTGTCGTATGATTCACTGGGGATGAAAACCTTCATCACCGCTGAGAGACACAATTCTAACCATAGTACATATGAGCAAAGAGGTATAGGCAGATTAGGTAGTTTCCCTAAAATCAAATTTGGTACAACAGGAACTAGAACCCACACATGCTAATCCCAGTCTGTCCACGCTTCTCCTTTATCTCTGCTCTTTGATGAATGTCAGTAGCAGCTGTTAAGCTCTTAGAATATTTTCATTAGTTTTCTTTTTACCAACTTAGGTGCAATTCTACATGTGGCTACATACACACCCAGAGTAGACCATTGAAATCAATGAACTCCATCAGTCAAGACTAACTTGATTTCAGCTTGAATACCACTCATGGAAGTCCCACTAATTTCACTGGAACCTACTCACAAGTATACATGTGCAAGATTGGAGCCTTAGCCACCGTGGGTTGTTTTTCAAGGTCAAGGAACAGTAAGCACACACTTCTGAGAAAATCTCTTGCACACGACCCATTGGATTAGCACAGCACAAGAATCATATACTTGAACACGAAAGAAGAATTTCAGTGGGGCACGTGATGGAAATTCCCGCTAGTCGGTGCTCCATAAAGTAACTACAGTATACAACTACACACACACACACACACACACACACACCACAAAGCCGCCCCCCACAGCTACACTTATCAAGGTTAAACACACTGCTCTTCATTTCTGCTCGTTTTTTTAAAAAAAGGGAAAAAAAAACAGAAAAAGAAAAATTATCACGCATAGCGTGTTTGAAAGTTAACAGAAACATATCACTACCACAGGGCTGTGATATGGAAATTTTTAAAATACTTTAACACACGCACACACATATGTACCTTTACAAAACAAACAAAAACGAACAAACCCTAATACATTAGCAATATTTGCATAGAATTATACATGTAAATTATACAATATTTTAAGCAGCAGCAAACATATGCTGAAATTTACGACTAGATTAAGCTTAGTTGTGGCACAGAGATCAATGTACAAACAGAGCACAAACAAAACAGTCCCCACTCCGTTAAACAGGAGTCAAAATAACTCCAGATTATACTACTTTACACGGTTTCTCTTGTATATTACATATGTGTACATCTTTTAAATATTTATAGAAATATTTCACAAAATAATACAATAGGTTACAGTAATGGTGAACTGTTGCCCTGATGCAGGATTGTTCTTCATAACTTCAGGCAGTTTCTCTTCAAGCAGTTCTGGAAAGAGGAGGTGGTTCCCCATCTTTGGCCTCTTCTTTGCTTCAGTTATTTCCCTGTACAAATAGAGACAAAAAAAGGAGCC